CTTCCTCCCCTCTCCCATTTCATACACAACTAAAAGTAACTATTAAAATCTTATGTAATGTACTCCTAGAGTACAAGAGAGGGTTAATGAATAGTAATAGGAACTCCTAGTACAGTGATCTAATAGTTTAGCTGAACAGACAAATGCTGTCCTTCCCTTGGTCATAATAAAAGTCTCTCTCTATTGTTCCAACCAGTGTTTTGAGAGGCCTCATCAGAAAGATATATGACTTGAGAAGCAAAAGAAGTGAGAAAAATCCATGGGCCTCAAACCTCTCTAGATCAGCCTAGTGGGAGGAAGATTTCTCCTCTCTCCTTTTTGAACTCTTCCCTTAAATGTTGAATTTGTCCAACATAGAACAATTGCCAAATAAAGCAAAGCACAGGGAGCAAGTTGGCAAGGAGGTGCAGGCTTAGTTTTGAAAATAAAAAGGGTATTTTTCTATGATAAATGACATAACTTTCTTGCATAACCATTTAAAGACCATCAATGTGAAAATAATGAAACAGCGAGGTTGCATTCAGGCTCATAGAGCTCAAGACACCAGTTCTGTTATATCTATACCAGCCTTTTTCTATAGGTGTACATAAACTCTTTTCAGATTTGAAAGAATTGAACCCCAACTAGGCAATGTTTCTGTAGTAAGAACCAATTAAAGAAACAAACAAAAACCCCATTATTTCTCTTTTTCATATGCACAGAAGAACATTTGTTGCTGGAGAAAATGACACTCTGAGGTATTATTTAAGTGAAAATTACAGGGCAGTTGACACAGAATTCCCAACCACATACATCTGTGTATGACTAAGGATATAAAACAAGATCTCATGTGACCTTTCAATCTTAGACCTAATGATTAGCCTATAATATTGCTAGTCTGCTCCCAGCTCTCCTGAAGTATTATTAAAAATACCCTTTCAAGACACATTTCTCTCCCCCTAACAGGCAAATTCCTTTGCTGCCAAGAAGAGCAAGTAAGAAAGAACCGTATGAAATACTGTATCTGTCATACCACGTGTTAGGAGAACCAAGCGATTAGCTTACAGGTATGCTATCACCAGGTGCAGCAAGCAGCAGAAAATACAATCAGAAAAGGGGCACATAACAAGCTGATAAAAGCTGCAAGCATAGAGGCAGCCAGTGTAACTGCCCAGGTCAAGCTGCAGGAAGTAACTAGCTCTAACAACTCACTGGAGGGTAAAAGCCTGAGCAGGCTACTGATGTACCAGGCACACGGCAGCTTCACCTCTTTCACTGCCAGCATAATCCAGCAGTAACGATGTTCTCACTTCTACCCCACCATCCTTTGTACAAGCATGGCATTTTAATTTTGTTTCATTTTAAAAAACATTTTAAAATCTATTGAAATGGAAAAGCACACTTGTTTCATGGATCAAGAAACTACAGTGGGATGCTATCCTTTCTGTGCTTTGAATTGGTTTGGGGGTTTTTTTGTGTGTGTTTTTTAATCATCCCCCTCTTTTCTCTTTTTTATAGCTCTTAGACCACTCAAAATTCCTCTTTTCACCCCCATCATATTACTTGAGCTCTGGCTGCACTTTCAGCAGTAATTTGTGGTTTAACAGCGTATTCCAACCCATTTTCCACTATCCATAGTTTCTGAATTACTTTCTTAGAATAGGAGGCAGGTGAAGATCCCAAAACTGATGTAGAAATGACAGGTTTCTGGTTATGTGTGTGGACAGCAATTTATCAAAACTATCCATTTTTCTTCCTGTTTTCTCCCTCCTCCTCTTTTCTTTCTTTCCACTCTAGCACTTCTCACCCTCCCTCACCTACATCCACATGGAAAAAAAAAACCCAAACACTCAACCTTAAAAAAAAATCATATTGTATCCAGAGACACGTTTTGGTTGGCAGTACCTTGATCCACACTTCAGTATATGTTGTACGGGTCATGATTCCAGTGGAATGCAAAATAACTGGTTTAGCTCTCAAATACTGTTTCCTTTTCTTAGAAAAATGGTTGAAAAAAGTACTGGCTTTAGAAATCTTTAACCTTATTGTTGTGGATCCAAACCTCATTTAGGGAAAAACTGGATAGAGACAACCAGTAGCATCCAGAAGAAGTTTAGAAAAAATATCTCCTCCTCACTTCCAGTTAACTACTAGTTGAAGTATGTTCCAGAGTACCTAGAATGATAATTTCAAGACCTATTCCAAGAACTACATTATCTGTAGTTCAGATTTTTAAAGTAATCAGAAAAATGTTTTGAAAATGATCATTCAAATTTCTTTTGAAGCTTTCCCCTTGGAAAAAAATACTTACAAAATAATTTCATAAAAACTGTTTACTGTAAAGTAGGGATATATTTAATACTTGGAATGTGGCAGCTAAATACAACCAATATACCCTCATTTCAAAAACAGTTGCAATTATTTTCAAATAATTAAAATAAGTTAAACAAACATAGCCAGGCCCACAAAACAATGTAGCCCAAAACTGCTTTCTTTGACAAACCAAATATGTCACCTGCCTTGCTTTAAGGCTGAAAAGCAGAATATGCCTGACCAGTGATATTAATCTGTAGATTACTGTAGAAGAGGACAGGACAGCTCCAGCACCAGTAAATCACATTCTATAATGGCTCATGCACTACTCAGACAACCCTAAAGTAAGTAACTTAGAGGATTTTGTTTACCACTTCTTGTTCAAGCTCTCTTACAAGAATTTTTATAATTACTTTAAAAATTTGATATTGCCAACAATGGGGGGGAATCTAATCAAATTTACACTACCTCCTCCCTTAATCTTCAATATCTAATATTTCTACAGCAATCTGAACTACTAAACATGAAATTGTAAAACAGACAAAACCAAACCCCACAAAACACCAATTTTATGAAAATTCTATGGTTTTGAAATCTATTTTCAAATGATAAATAGCTGCAAAGCTCACTAGCTCTTTGGCATCTTCATGAAGATGATATATCAAAAAACCTTGTGTTTTGTGTGACAATAACATCATTCACCCTATGTTTTCTGATTCCTTCTCAGAACTGTTAGAAACCATGGTATTAAAAAATTCTCATCTGATGGAACGCAGGAATGAAAACCTTAAATGGAAAGTTATTCAAGTTATTTGATTAATTTAGCACATATCAATCCTTAAACAACTTTTAACTATTTTTGGAAACTGAGCTTGATACCATATCAAATCAACACAAGTATGTCATTACATTCAAACATCTAGAAAACTTAATAGAAGAAAACATAAACATACTAAGATTAAAGACAATATTTAAAACCACAGATTCTGCATCTACTGTGAGGTCACGTCCTGAAATGTCACAATATATGGTAATCAAATCCTTCACATTACTGCAGTTGCAGCACATGATGAAGTCAGAGAAATGTACTTGCAATGATAACCCATCATGAAGATTTCCATTACAAGACTGTCAAACTATAGTATAACAATTTCCAGTACTCAAGTTTAATCAAGCCAGACAAAAATGTTGGAGACACTCCAACTGTTTTACAGCTTAGGGCATCAAGGATCCTGAGATTGCTTCACAAATGCTGTCAGATGCTACATCTCCCAGACTCTCCTGGCTTCCTTGACACTCTCTTACTGACCCCAGGAAATTCCACTATAGCAACTCTATGTCCTCCTTAGCAAAAGAAAAATGCAGCAGTACATCCAAGCTGCACTCCTTCGAAGATCCATGCATCAATAGTGATTTTAAATGAAACATCAGCTTTTCAGGATTTAATTACACAGCACCATAATCATAAGCTTTATACATTCCTAGATGTTTTAGTCAACAGGACTGTTGCATGATGGACATACAGAAATAGCTGCTGTTCTTGTGTGACAGCAAGAATTAACAGCATAAAGATGACAAATGGCTAACAAAACTCTAACATGAAGGAAAACCCCCACTATACTCATATAGCCTACAGAACTTTCCTTTGAAAATTTAGTTTTTTAAATATATCCTATTAGCTGACATATTTCAGAATTTTAAAATGTCTTTTTTTGTATTTGGAAAATGATCTTCCCTTCGTTTGGAGCAAGATTATTTAATCACTGCCTCTTGCAATAAAAATACTAATCATTAAGTATCACATCAAAATCATAGAATGATTAGGGTTGGAAGGGACCTTAAAGATCATCTAGTTCCAAACCCCCTGCCATCAGCAGGGACACTTCCACTAGACCAGGTGGCTCAAAGCCCCATCCAACCTGGCCTTCAACACTTCCAGGGAGGGGGCATCCACAACTTCTCTGAGCAACCTGTTCCCGTGTCTCACCACCCTCACAGGAAATAATTTCTTCCTAATATCCCATCTAAACTTACCCTCTTCCAATTTAAAGCCATTTCCCCTTGTTCTATCACTATATGACCTGGTAAAAAGTCCTTCCCCAGCCTTCCTGTAGATCCCCTTCAGATACTAGAAGGCCACTATAAGGTCTTCCTGGAGCCTTCTCTTTTCCAGGCTAAGCAGCCCCAACTTTCTCAGCCTGTCTTCATAGGAGAGGTGCTCCAGCCCTTGGATCATCCTCGTGGCCTCCTCTGGACTCGTTTTAACAGGTCCAAGTCAAAATGATACAACAACACCAATGACTATTTACAAGTTTAATTGTTTTCTACAGATGATATACTTGAGTAAAAACTATTTAAAATTATGATTGCAGTAGCAGCTTTACATTCATGAACTTCTATATAAAAATCTCCTCAGATCAGAAGTCAGAAACTAGAGGTAAGACAACAGATTTTAATTTCAATCTTCCAAAATTTGTCATGCCTTTGAAAGAAAGTGACCATTTATTATGTGTACATATAAGAGTTTATCTCAAGACTGGCAGACATAAAATAATTTTTTTTTTATGCATCTAATTTAGAGACACACTTAGAAAATTATCTCACAGTACAGTTTGCAGACAGGAACTGCAGAAGCTCGTAACTCCTGCCTGTTTCCATTAGATATATAAAGCACCCCTATTTACAACAAGGTAGCTAAGAAGCCTTACTTGAGTCTGCTTCATTGCCCGTTCCATTCTGCGAGTACTTCCTTTCTCAAGCTTGGTCCGAAGGAGTAAGGCTGATGTCTGAATGGCCCAGAACTTCGGCTGAGAGAGCAAGCACTGCAGAGAAAACAACCCACATTTTTTCTTTATTTCATTTTAAAAGACACTGAAGACAGCAAACTTTTTAACAGTGTTTGCAAGCATGAATGCTGTTTCCTATTCTGAAAGTCAAAGACGTGGTTGTAGTACTTATTTGATGAATTGAAGGCTGTACAGATTACCTTAATCTATTTTCAATATAAAAGGCAGCCATCAAAACCATTTTTTCCATCTCAGCTACTGCAGCACTCTCTGTACATGTACCCACAGGGTGCATACACCAAACTGCACAAATTAAAGTAGCTGATCAAAATTAAAGGAAAAGAAAGAATATGATACTGAGCAGTCTGGCTTAGCCTTCTCCACAACTGCGTACCAAATAGTTGTAGATGGCAGCAGGGATCTTACTTCTTAAGGTTGAACAAAACCAGTTCTCTCTTAGCCTCTCCTCATATGTGAAGTGCTCTGATGCCCGCATTAACAGCACCTCCATATTAAATAGGCTGAAATTGCAAAGAATATTAATTAATTGAGAACTTGCCATGGCTTGAGAAAAACAGGAAGAGTTTCTGTTGTGTAGTAGATGTATTTGGAATACAGAATAATCTAGGTAGAAAGCTTTCCTAAAGACGTAGTAGGTTATCACTTTGAATGCCCTGCCCCGATGCCAGGAACTTGGTGCCAGTCTCTAACAACTGATTTTTAGGAAAGCCCAGTAGGAGATATGTAGTCAATACAATGGTGATATCTCTTAATAATACAGACTGCCTGCATTCTTTCCAGTATGGTTTGAGGCACAGTATACCATTTTTCTGTTAGATATTCGCTTTGAAAAGGAAGACAGCAGAAAAACTCCCCTGCTAATTTTATTGACACAAATATAATCTAGCTTCTCTGAGAAAATAAATTTGTCTGTAGATATTTGTAGACTGGGAAAAAGCCCCAGTGGTTTTATTCTTTCCCCTCAAAGATCTCCCAAAGCATTAAAAAGCATACTTTACTGGCAGTTTGTGTGTAACGCCTGACAAATTTCTGTCATATTGTAATCTGTTTTTCTTTGTCCTAGAGTTTTCACAGGAAAGAAACAAACTAAAGCAAATTCTCTTCAAGCAAAACTACAATGGGAAGAGAGGTAACAGCAAATAAAAGCATAAATGAAAGAAGTATGAATGCAGGTACAGTCACCAAACACTTCAACATCAGCTGATCCTCCCTCTTGTGATCAACGATCACCACCCTGATTCTTTCATGATTTCTACTTAGTATTACATTAAAGAAGTACCCAAAGGCTTCTATACTGTTCTCTACATGCTGGAAGGACCTGGAAGTATTAGGGGAATGCAATCACAACATTCTATACTTTATATACTTTCAAGTAGCCTTTTACAAATTAATTACAATCAGCAAATTTGTTAACTGGTCCAAATCCTAGTTCTGAGAGCTCATCTCTCTCCTGTCTCATCATGGGAAGTTCACTCTCCTACCTATTTTTGTTTGGTCTTAAGACAAACCCTCCACTGCAGGACACAAGCAAGACATTCCTACCAGAGGACCCTGGTTTCTGAATGTATTCTTTGGTGGCCGTTCCAGGTGGCTGGTAAAAAACACCCTTAAAGGGATTGTTAGGGCAAATACTTGAACAACATTTACTTTGGCTTAAAAACTCTTATGAAAGGTTACCCTTTCCCCCATTTTCTCCACTGCTGGTATTCTGTTAGATTATTTTTCACTTAAAGGTAATTTTTCCTCTGCTACATTATGGGAGATGCTAGTATTTATTTTTCAAATGAACACAACATCATCTCTCAAAAGAAAAATGAAAACTAAAAGGCTTGACTAATAATGCTCCTAAAGATATTTTCAGGTCCAATTACAGTCCTTGTCCAGCAGGAGAATACTTGTCCCCTCACTCTCATTCACCTTAGCAACTGGGGCACAAGCAGGACATAGCACAAAGCCTCTGTGTCCACGCCATCCAGCTCTGCAAGAGAACCATCAGCTCAGGAAAGCCTCTCCTCTGCCTCTGTGAATACCTCCCACACCACTGTCTAGGCAATGATTTAAGCAATCGTGCTGTATGACGTGTGTATAAAGTAATATGGGGAAGGAGGAGAAGCGAAGAGAAACACAGGTAATTAAGTTTCAGTCCTCTGCAGAAGCAATGATGGTCTTATCCTGAATAACAATTCTGCTTTTTAAAGGTATTCATAAAATAATGATAACTTATTCATAAAATAATCATAAAATAAATGTACAGCTATACCTGCTGTACAACTAGAGAAAAAAATTTAAACAAGAAGCAGGCCTATTTTTCAGTTTAGAAACACTTGTAATTTTATACTTGTACTGAGCTCAGTCCTGTGCCAGAACTCAAATGCTCACCTTTTCATTGCCTACCTGTAATGTTTAAAGCACCACAGATACAAAATAATACATGTATAAAGGGCACAAATGTTTATACTCAAGGGCTATAAAGAGTAATTTCAGAACATGTGTCCATAACTATTATGCAAGCTTTAATCTTCTACTGAAAATTTCCACATATTCCAAATAATAAAGACTTTCTTGTATCTCCCAAAGCTTTATATTTTCACCTGAAGCTAAATCTAGACTCTATTACTAAGACTATAGTTTAGAACAAAACATCTGGAAAAAAGAAAAACTAAATCAAGATTATGCAAGTTTTGTCAACATATCTGAGAGGTCATTGTACTGTACCAAAGGCATCTAAGAAAATTAACAGAATAATTTTAAAACAAAAACACCATTGAGA